TGAATCCCTTTTTTTTTTCCTTAATTATGGTGGGGGGGAGCCACAACATAGTATTTTTGGTCACTATAGACCACGTATATGTGTTTTGTCCTATAAGATCAAAATGGAGCCAAAAATTATATACCATTTTTAATATACTTGTCTATGTTTATATTTATTTATATAATTTAAATATTGCAAACACCACTGAGTTAGAGTTGCCTTAAGTTTCTAGCAAGTAACATGCCCTAAAGGTTTATAACCTAGGAACAATTGTTACACCACACAGCCTAAGTGTGTAGTAGACTATATCATATAGGTTTGTGTAAGTACACTGTGATGTTTACATAGAAACAAAAATCATGTAATGACATTTTCTGAGAATGCATCTCATTGTTAAATGACAAGTGACCATAGTACACTGGCTTTAGGCTCTTGATATAGGTTTCCCATGACAGATCCCTGAACCAATGGTAAAAAAAAACAATATTTTTCTCCCTTCCTTTTTTCTGTCCTGCTCTATCTGTCCCTCCTTCTGTCCCCCCACACTTCTTCCCTGCCTCCTTTTCTAGATCAAGATGTAGATCACGTAATGATAAATTAATGATAATTTTATTCCTTTGTGTATTTGTGCTTCTTAGCATCCATTTTTGTCTCCCTTAATATAGTTTTCATTGTGACCATGTAAAGTAGATGACATTATCCCTCATTTTATTTTATTTTATTTTGTGTGTGATGTGCTTGTGTGTGTATATATGTGTTTGCATGTATGTTGGCAAATGTGCAGTTCAGCTAGCCATCCTGCTTTGGGGATACCAAATCTCTGCTTTTACATTCTGGGATTATAGGCAGGCCACCATGCCACTAGGTATTTTTGTGGGTGCCAGGGATCACTATGGTCCTCATACATGGGCAGTAAACAGATTCATTCATTTTGGACTGCCAACTCACAATAATAATAAGACATGGAGACTTATTAATTATGAAAGCTTGACCCTGGCTTAGGCTTGTCCCATTAGCTCTTATAACTTAAATTAACCCATATTTTTAAATCTACATTCTTTTATGTTGCTCAGTTAGGTTTACTCTGTACTGTCCATCCTGCTTTCTCAACATCTGGCTGGCAACTCTGCCTTCCTTCTTCCCAGAGTTCTCTGTCCCTCAAAGTCCCACCTAACCTCTTCCTGCCTGGCTAATGGCCATTCAGCTCTTTATTAAACCAATTGCAGAGACACATCTTCACTCAGGGTAAAGGAATATTCCGCAACAATGAGCAGCAAGTGTTTTACCCTCTGAGCTGTCTCCCAGCCCCTGTTCCTCGTTTTCTAAGTAAGGCCTTACAAAGCATAGTGAAATGCTTTACTCTTTTCTGTTTGGCTATCTTGTGGAGTAGCCTGAACTACGGAGCAGCGGCTTTGGTATCACTGATGCACTGTAACTTCTTAAGTATCAGGACACAGGATAATAATCATATAATAATACAACAGGGACGACAGAAGCATCAAGTGGAAATTGTAAAGCACCCTGTGTACCTGACTTTGTCCCATGCTCTTCGTGCTTTGTCAAGTTTAATCCTCACGGTAGACCTCTGAGATCAATGTGTTACTTTTGTTTCCATTCCATTCCCCAACCTTGCCAAGGAAGAATACAGAACATACAGCTTTTCAAGGCGTTGTAACCAGTTCTTTTATTGTGTCATTTGATTGACATTAAAAAAGGTTAAGAAAAGGCAAAGTTGGGACTGGATTACTTAGCATTTGATACAGAGTCAGATGCTCTGCACTGCTGGAGAGTCTCACATTGCTACTATTTCATTCCTTACTCAGTGCACTTGTCACACACAGGCACATGCACATTTGAATCAAGGACTACAGACAAGAATTGATGATCATTGATGAGTTTCTGTTGTTTGAAGTATAGGGATACGCTTGTATATTTTTGTAGGGTTTTCACCTCTGAGCCTCTGCTTTATTTGAAAATATATGCATTATACAAAAATGAGTAACTACATTTCTTTTTTTTTTCTGAAAACTGACTTTGTTTACTTAGAAGAAAATGTTAGATGTGTATTCTCTGAACTAGCATTCCATGTGTTATGTAAGGAGGAGATAAATAGTAAAAACACATGGCACATGGATCCTCTGATCATGAGGCATGTGCTTCTGAAGAAAAGTGGAGTGCTGTCCTGTGCTCTAAGCACCTTGCTGGCAGCAGGGCACAGCCTTCACAGCCAGTTTTGAGTGTGACTTCCTGGCCTGAGTAAATGGTATCGTGATTCTAATCAAGTGTGGATGATACTTGCACTGCTTCATAAGATTGTCTTTACTGAAGCACTGCACAGGATGCATTAGTAACTATGAAATATTTCTAAACTACTGAGGTAATAATCACTCAAATACTATGATGGTGTATTATCTGATGCTGTCTAGTCATATGAATGTAACCATAATATATATAAAAAAATCCCTAATATAGCATTTAGCTTTTCTGTGATGGAAGAACAGTGCTTTATATAAAAATGGCCACATAAGATTGATTACAACATCTATTAAACTCAGGTCAGTCTTAATAAACTAAGACTGTTAAGATAGATAAAGATACATACATTTCTAAAATGGTATATAACTCTAATTCCTATGTTAACTATAGCCACTGAGAAACAGTTGTTAGAATGGTATCTTCTAGAGCTGGGGTTGGGGGAAACGGTGATTTTAATATATTAATAAGCTTGTTATCCTGGAATGTTTTCCCAGCCTCTTACTCCTCGG